TTGTGATCTGCTGAGGCCACATCTTTTTGCAAAGAGCAATAATTCTAACCTTAAATATGTAGTTTATTGATTTAAATCTTGATTTTGATTTTTATGTTACAGATGCCTGTACGATCACTGGATCATGAGATATCGGTGTTTGAATGTACATATCAACTGTTTAAAACAATACAATAACATTCGGACCTTGATATCTAGTGATCTAATAATTGGGATTAAGCAATTCGATTCGCCTTGATGAATGGTATAAAAATCGCCTGATTTGAATTGATGGAACACAAGTCAGGGTTGGCAATGGAGTTCAATAGAGTTGCGAATGAAACCAATGGAGCCAATGGATACTAGTTTTTTGAGCTCTACTCGTACAACCATTGAGCTCCATTGGCTCCATTGCCAATCCTTGAACACGAGTTATATTAGATTTTTCATAAATTCGCCATTACCATGTTGTGTAGCATTCGAACACAGATAACTCGTGACCCTGTGAACAGAATTAAATGATTCTGGTATCATTCGATGAGAAATCTAATGATATAAAAATTATTTAATTTGGATTAATAGTTCATGAGTTACATGTTTTTTTTTTTTTCTCTTAACTTCGTATGGGCTAATGGTGCACATTTTGTGATATCTAAACGTGATTTAAAAAATATGAAACATATCTCCGAGTTTCAAATCCGATAAAATGTATTAAAATTATATTATCACCGTCACTTATTGTATTAGATATCACAAAACGAACGCCATTAGCCCATACTTACCTTATACGTACCTATAGGTAGGGTAGGGTTGGGGCAATGGTGTTCAATGAAGCCCGAATGGAGCTAATGGAGCGCTAATGGATACTAGCTTTTTAAGCTCCATTCGCATAACTATTGAGCCACTATTGAATCATTGCAAACCTAGACCATAGGGGAGAGGAAACATGCAGGGTTAGATAACTTACCTGACAATGTAACTTACATGGCATCATGTAAACCGCAGATGCATAATGTTAATGCAGGTCAGCTTTAAGATTAAATTTGGCCGGCATTAAATGCAATATATAGTTAAAAAGTACATAGCAAAATACACACTTTTCTGAAATAATCCGAGTAGAAAATGAATGAGTGTAAAGGTTGAGAACAAAATTAAAGCAAAGCCTTAATACTAAATTCATAGAGGTCGATTCTTATTCAGTAAAATATGTAAGATACGTAATTTACGTCAGTTTAAATAACCATACCGATACGTAAATTACCCAACCCTGGAAACATGGATGTTCCTTCGCGAATGTGATCACATTACAATATAGCACACTGAGGTATAGAAGATTAAAGGGTGTGTTTGCCCTTATTAAAGATGTGTTAATAAGTGTGTTTGCCCTTACTGAAAAATGAGTTTCATATTTTCAGTGGAACCAGATAAGACTTCGTATCAGTGCGATTTACAGTGTTTACATGTATATATTCCTTAAGATAGCAGCAAATCACAAAGCTATAGTGATAGATCTCTGCTTTGTGGACGTCACTCTGGTTATATCGGCACCTCAAAAAAATCAAGAAATTGTCAGATGTCGCATCTTCATATTAAGTATATAGGTTCAAAATTTTAAAAAATGTCGTTATAGCCAGATGTCGGTATATCCAGATGTCGATATAACCAGAATGACGTGTATAAAGTTTTGTATTTGCTATTAAAAGATAAAAAAAAATTGACGCACAACATAATTTCATGATTCCTAGAGTTGTTAATTATATTTATTTATTTTTTTTTAATAACTTAAATATGTATATACATAAGTTACAATATGAAGCTACAATCATGGAATATGGATTTAATAACACTAATTATCGTTATTTTATATACATAGAATTTGTTAAATAACTTATTAGGTCCAAACAAAATTATATTATCTCCCAAACACCATAATTTTCATCACTTTCGTATAAATTAGAATACATTCCTAATGCCCAAATACAATAAATAAATTTATAATTTGAATGGTTTATCGGACAATTTTTGCCAATCATGCTTTCAAAAGATTCTTTCTTCCACTCTCCCGTTGGAAGTTGCCTCGACTTAATAAGCTAATACAATAGTTTTAAAGAAGTACATTAAAAGTTAAAAAGAGCGACAGCTTTTAATTTGATTCCATAAATAAAAATAAGATTACCTCAATTCCATTTCTAATGGGATCACTAAACGGATATTCAGCATACATTAGTCCGAGCAATGCCCAAGCAGTATTAACAACTTGCGAATTTGAGTGTTGTATATACTGCCCTACGCCGGAAGAAGACTAATAACATTTCAAGAAAATAAATAAGTTTAAAATCGACATTAATTATCAAATTTTCAATCATATATACCTTGTAATCTTCTCCCCATCCACCATCCTCCCGTTGTTTGGAAACCAAAAAGTCGCATGCTCTTTTTACGTATTCACTATTACCAGAATGAATCGAGTTTATTATAAATGTAAATTGTTAATATTTAGAGAATCTAAAAATCTCGCTCACCTATTCTCATAGTTTTCTCCAACACTTGATAGTCCCTGAAGTGCGGACATTGTACCATACGTGAAACAAATACCCCATGAACCAAGCCAACTGCCATCTTTACGTTGCATCATATGAATATATTTAGTTGCTTTTATGCAGACTTTTCTAAAAAGAATTTATTGATACATATCAAAAATTAGTCTAATCAATAATACCAATGATTGTATACATAAAATAAAAAAAAATTTACTCAATATCATCAACGTAATGGTCCACGAGATCAAATTTGGAAAATATTCTTAAAGCAGTCATAACAGAACTTGTGCATTCAACGTAAGTATGTTCGATTAAAGTATTTTCCAAAAGTTCGGAAGGATTTATCAACTCCATCCAACAATAACCACGAATGTTTTCATAACGTGAAAATCCTCCATTAGTATGTTGTTTTTTGATTAAATTATCAATTGCAGAATGAATTCGCTTCTGATTAATTAATGGTGGTGTGTAACTTTGAATGCAGAAAAGTTAGAAGACCAATCATTAACATCATTTATAGAATCATATAGCTTAACCAAGAAAGAAAAAAAAAAAAAAAAAAAAAAAAAAAAAACTTACTCTAATTTACCCTGAAGAAGTAATATCGCTTTTAAAGCTTCAGCAGTACAATCATTGGCGGCCCACCCTTGTTCTCTTGTACTAAAACTCCAAAATCCTTTTGAAGATTCTCTCCAACATTGTTTCATATATGTTGGATTATTTTTTATTTGTGAATCTTCTAAAAATTCAAGCGCTTTAATCATTGATTCATGATTTTCTGGATCATTTCCTAAACCTTTTGAAATATAAAATAAATAAATAAATAAAATGTAACAAATATTTGCAAAAGCTCTTTTAGGCATTCTCAAATTTATTACCTGCTTCTATTATTGCTTGCACTGCGAGTGAAGTATCCCAAATTTGTGATCCATCAACAGAATTCATTAACATCCCATTTGGAGTCATCCTAAACATTGTTTAAAACAACTAAATACTTTTAATGAGCGGTGTTAATATAACAAGTGAACCCGAAAAAAAAAACCACGAGAACACAAACCATATATAATTTGCAACCTTATCTTTCATATTTAAAAACATTTCAGACTCTGGACCCTCTTCATAATAAGCACAAACCAAACGAAATAATTTATCAATCTATTAAATAATTCAAAGGGGTTTAATATGTTAACAAATTAGATGGCTTGGCCATAACATAGAAAATTTTTCAACATACTGCACAAACAGAGACATAGTTAGAATCAATTTCTTCAAGTTTAATTAATTTATAAACTTTTTTTAATGCGATATTGCGAAGACTTAATAAATTTTGGAATTTGTTCCAAACATTTGAAACCGCTTTATTGATAAAAATTAGTCAATAGCATTAGTTTTTTTATTCTTTTCTGATCACCTATAACCAATAATGGACTTATCTCTTTATAAAAAAAAAAAAACTCACTGTTAGTAACAACTAAAATTGGAGACCGGTGAAAATATATATCCGCCTCACAAACATTGTTCTTTGCGGCAGACCAATCAATTTTATCATATGGTTGAACAAATAACTCAAGTCGTAATTGTTCAATTAGCGGACTCATTTTCTCAGCTATTTTACGCCCATAAAGATAACTCATTGAGAGATGGGTAGCACGTATTGGACCCCAAACGCGAGCCGGATGAAGAGGTGACTTGTATGGAAGAAGCCTTTATATGTAAACATATATAATTATTTTAATTTTAGTGGTTGAATGCGTATTATTAGATAAACTGATAATGAGAAGTATTTACCATAATTCTGGTAAGACTGGATTAACTCCTTTCCAATCATAAATGTTCAGCATTGCTAACCAAAACTTTCCAATAGATGGAATAGCTACAGCTCCACCTGTTTTAAAAAGCATGGTTAGGAATGAATGATCCCGGAATAAAAAAAAAACTAGAGCATTGACTCACCAAGTTTATGTATGAATTTTCTGCTCTTGACCAGTACGGGATGTTCAGGATCCATTCCTAGAATTCTGAGTGCAACGTAATTTAAAGTTGTTCCTAGCAGATTTGAATGGTCTTCTACATGTCTAACAAAAATGAAAAAACGAATAATTAATATTTTTGAAAGTTAATGGAAAATAATTTCAAAACTCAAATCTCACATACATTCCCCAGCCGCCGTCATCCGGATTAAAGGTATTAACTAGATATGTGATTATTTCAATTTTCCAGGCCTGAGGAATTGATAGACGAGTAATGAATGTCGAAAACACAAGTCCTGAAATCAGAAATATAGGGCCACTATATTCTCCCGCCCAATGACCATCCACAGTTTGCAATTGTTTAAAGAATTTGTATCCATTATATGCGACTTCAAGAGAAGTTTTTGGTGAGGAATATTCTTTTTGATTATCATTAATTTTCTATACCAAAATTCGATATCATTAAACATCGATTAAATAATTAAATGCTCAAGAGTAATTAAGAAATTAATACTCACATCATAGGACAATCCTAACCAATAACGATCGCATGCAGTTTGGGGCCAATTTTTTATCTCATCATTACTTTCTAAATAATGCCAGGTTTGCTTTCCATGATCCACCTCGAGCCTCCAGCGTGACTTGTCAGTTGTTTCTATATTTATACCGAGATAATCCGACATTTTTATAAATTAAGGAAGCAAAAGATGGCGCTAATATATGTATGGCTATAGAATTATTATAGTTTAAAAAAAAAAAATAAAAAAAAAAGATAAAAAATGAGGAATGACAGTACATATATATTTAGATATAATATACTGCGCCACGGACCACGCGGCAATGCATCAATATCAAAAATCCTATAAAATTCAATTCAACCAGGCGTTGTATTTATTTGTTTTCCCAATGTATATAATACTAATACGTGCTTCTTCAGGATGTGATTAATAAGACAGGATTTTGTGCGTCAGAACAGGAAGTCGCGTAACAGTTCCTTGTCACTTTGTTTACGTGTGCACAATCAACTGACCATACGCCGACAATGGGATAAGAAAGAGTTATCACAAACGGGCATAACGATACTGATACGTAGAACCTATTAGCTATTTTTAATTTTTAACCTATTTTTGAAATGTACAATAATCATTTCTAAATACGCCTAGAATTAACTTTGATATCGGCCGGATACGTGATTGATAGGTTTACGATTGACGACGCCTGCGATCGTGCGTACATTTGTACAGTACGTACCAATTATAGTATTTAAATGTGTAACCATTACTCATACATAACAGATAACGATAAGTACATACTTACGTACCGATTATAATATTAATCTCTTAATTACTTTAATTGCTTATATATTGTAAAAAAAAACATACATATATAATAATATATATATTAAATTAGGCATTGTATCAAAGCAAATATTCCCACAATACAATCACTATATACAGGTCCTTAACTTCACCGATCAAATCGTGCGTTAAAGAAATGAATATAAAGAAATGAATATAAATGAACATCGACAGTCTATTTTTTGTTAGCAATAAAAAAGTAATAAATGCTATTTAATGATTACTATTATTTATTATTGTTCTTCAACTTTAAAACTTCATATATAACAATGGCCACAATAATAGCAAGAATTATCAAAGCTATTAAAAGACATATCCATTTCTTTTTTCGAGCCGCTGCTGCACTTTCGCGCGCCTTATCCAACTCATCAGTAGCTTTTTCTAATTTGTTTGTAGTTTGAACCGCATTTTGTTCAATCTCAACAACAGTTTTATCCTGTGCTTCAACCTGAAGATATAATTCCTTAAAAAGGGTGGCAAGCTCGGCAACGGTTTCCTCAACACGTTTAATATCATTGTGTCGTTTTTGTACTTGACTCAACACTTCGTGGGATTCACTAGTACGTAAAAGTGCTGATTGAAATACCGGCTGTCCTGATGGACTTGATATATAATTATCAATTTCTTGCTGAGTAGCGTTCGGATAAACTATCTTATATTGCCGAACTGTTCGTTCTGTTTGTTTTCTTATGTATTCATTTTCAGCTTCACGGTATTCGTTAAGAATTTTGGATAATTTCTCCCTGAGAAATCCATGTCTTTGCGTTCGTAAATCATAATTAGGATCAGACCTAGGAAGTCTGGAATTTTCAGATTCAATCCTTCTAATGCGGTCTTTGCTTTCAATAAGGAGCTGTCGGGTCTCATTCATAAGGTTATCACGTTCATGACTTGTATTTTCTACCACGTTCGTTGAAGTGGCAACTAAGATATTAGATTGTAATTTTTGAATCTTTGCAATATTGGCATGAATGGTCGTAACATTTTGGTCAATCGCTGCGGTCTCGTTCAAAAATGCTCCTATATCCATTATTTATCAGCTTATTAAACCTTTCAAACCAAAGTGGAAAATAAGACACCACGAAAAAAAATGGATATCAAACTTTAATAAAGTTTGATATTTCTATACTGTGGGAGCAGTGAGTTGAGGTGTAATTTCATCATTAGTTAAAACAAATGCTAATATATATAAGTCCCTGTAGGACGCCATATACATTTTCTGCACCGATCAGCAGATTTATTTGGCTTACGTACTAAAAAATTCGGAATTTCCAAAAATATTTTTGGCAAATATGTCAATCATCTATGTTTCAATGACTTAATTTTAAATAGATCGATATATTAATGTCGTGTCACGTGACACGAACTTTAACGTTAAAATTAGCGTTGTTACCCAGACCAGACCCTATTAAAGGGGGTTACAAGGGCTACCGATACATTTATTCCTATTTTGAATCGATATAACCCATTTTATCGTAATCCCAAACCATATTTAAGATTTGTGCAATTAATCGTGTGGCGCAGATGATTGTTCAACAATCGATTGTACGGGGTAAGGCTTGGAACTGTATCAGCTATATTTTGCTATATTTTGCGAAATACGTAAAAATATCCCCCTATTTCCGTCTTTGGTAATCTTGATAAAAGGATATATATGAGTTGTAAAGATGTTCGGATGATTTTTTTAAACAAAAAAAGTGGTTGATTGAAATTAAACTGGCGTCTATTTTAAATACTCGTAATAGTATTCAATTCCAGTACATCCGTAAAATCAGGAATAGCCATTTGATCAAAATTTATATGATCTCAAGTTATTAAATAATTGAATCATTTGTATATAAGATCAAATGGCTAACCAAGCACTACGTATTATTTTTCTATTAATAAATTTTACTTAGCCGATATTTAGCAAAGTTATTTGAGATAATCTATATTTAATAAACAATTTCTATTTGGACACTGTGTTTGAACACTTGGTTATATAAAACAAATAGAAAAGCCAATCAAAATATTAGATTAAATGCATTTTGCAGATTATTTTTTTGTACAACAAAAATAAAGTAAAAAAAATATATTTCAAATTTTGTATATTGTAATATATTTGTTTGGCTTAACCAAATTATAAATATTTCAATAATAAAATGTGTAGTCACCAATTAAGTCAAATAAATATATTACTTGATAAGAGTAGTTTAAATGCAATAAAATACTAAAAATATTATAAAAACACAATATAATAACAGTTTATTACTAAACAAATATAAGATAATAAGGTTTTAATATAAGAAAATAATTAAAGAGAAGAGAGTTAAATAGATTAAAAAATGATGTAAATAATTAAAAAATAAGGTGTGAAATATACATTGATGTCTCTTTGCCTTGGAAAAAAATATAGAGTTTAAATATTACTATGTTTTTATATAATAATACTATATAATAATGCTATAAGATAACATTATATAATAATAGCTATAGAATAATATTATAAAATAATATATTTTTTTTTTCACTAAGCAAAGTTATACCAATAACTTCTGTTTATTAAGGGTAGACTGTATTACTATATTTAAACTATATATATATAGATGATAAATCATTTTTGTTATACAAATTAACAGGTGCACAAAAAGACTATAAAGGCAAATGTTTTTTTACGTTATTGAATTTAATCAAAACAAAGTATATACAAACTTTAGAACCTTTAAATTTCATTGCAAAAATTATAAGTAAGTTTTTTGAAAAATATTTTTAAATTTTAAAGTCACAAAGTTTGCAGGTAAAACTTTATGATTTGTGAGTGTAATTTTATAATTCTAGAACTTAATGAATATTCTAGAATACTTTATAGAATATGATTTATAATTTAGAACAGGCTCTAGAATGATTATCATTAGACCTTTTCAAGTACATAAACCTTTTGAGAAAATAACAAAAATGCTTATTTAAAAAGTATATAATTATAGAAAACAAAATATATAAAGCTTTTATAGACTAGAAACAAACTACATCAGTATTTAGTAAGAATTTGCATAAAGTGTATTTATAGAATATGCACTTCAAAAGGTCTAAATATCATTTTTTTTCATAATTTTTTACTAATTTGTAATTCTAAAATATTTTTATATTTATATAGGACGTAAACTCAAATATAGATTTATATTGTTATTATATAAACACTATCAGAATAAAATCTGAGTACAAGTCACTTCCATTATATCATATTTTTGTAAAACAAATACTTACTTATATGTCATTTTGAGTATATGTAGATATTTAGAATATACGCATTATTTTGAAACTATGCATATTATTTTAGATTAAATAATTAAATAATACTTATAGGCATTATTATATGAAAATATATTTTATAGCAAAAATTTTTAAGGATTTATTATATTTAGAGCTCTATGTCAAACCCCTAAATACACATTTTACTAATTTTATATATAGTTCTATCACTGTGCATTTAAAGAGGTCTGACTATAATTTATATTAAAATAAGAATAATTTGTATTTTATTAAATAGAATTTCATATTTTCTTCTAGCATTATCTATTTTTTTTTTAGTAATAGTATGAATAAATAATCTAATCAATTAGTTAATCAACAACCAGATAATCGTTATGCTTTTCAACATGACAATAAAAGCTGATTTGTGCAGTAAATTTTTCAACTAAAAGTTTTGGAGTAGCATCAAAATTTTGTTCTTTTTACTTGTAAGCAAATAACTTCTAGTATGACAATAGGATACTATTCACTAAAAGATATAGAAAATATTTCTGATTGGGTTTCTTTATTACCTGGTTATTTAATATATACGGTAGCAGGTAATAAATAGGAAAGTTATCAATTAAATTAGATCAAATAATGCTTTAGCTTTTGAGTGGACAGTATATGAAAATAAAACATTTCAAAAACAAACAAATAATGGTATTGATTATTTGTTGTTTAAGTCTTTTATTAAAAATTTTAAGATTTATGCAAATTAAAGTATTTCTTGGTTATTAGGATTTTCGAACACAGAAAATATAAGGTTTTTATATACTAAGGTTCATGAAAAATATCCACAGCTATTCCAAAATTATTATAACACAATACAAGCTTTTTAAAAAGAGACCAAACTAAAAAGATCTTTACAAAAAGAATCTCAACAAATTGACTCCTCATTACAGCACAAAGAATTGTGTATAGAAAATAGTATCATTCTTGAATCTAATGGAAAATACCTTATTTAAAAAGAAACTCAAGCTTTAATTGTAAAATATAACAAACTCATAACTCAAAAATATCATCAGTAATCAGAGGAAAAGGACCTAATTGTGGGGACTAGGAGCAGGCCATAGCCCTTCTGGGCCATCTGGATTGGTAGTTTGAAATAGCTGAGATGATCAGGAAAAATCTGTAGATATACCAGGGTTTGGGTGAACTCTATAAGGGCAGTAGTAGGTAACTGTAGCAGCTTCGGCTCGCAAGTACTTGTCCTTGGACTTGGCATAAGTTACCGAAGAAGACTAGATAATACAGGAATAGTGGGTACTGGACTGCTCTAGCAGGTGACGCACTCGAGGATGAATCAGTTAACCATGCTGGTAGTCCTATAGATAGACGCGATAATCTTGGAACTTAGACTGACTTATGTATCACATGTTCTGAGTGAGGTTAGACGGATTGATATAGGAAACTCGGATCAGAGGGTTTAATCGGCTAATTCAAGTAATAGTGGGTTATAGATACAACATCTAGTGTAGCATCTAGCACATAGGTAGAATCACTTAATTAGACACCCAAAAGGTGCAGATATAGCTAGAATGTATCTTCATCAGAATATACTTGTCTGAGGCCCCTTGAAAAGGGCACTACATGATTCTAATATCTAATAAAAGTGATAAGCCAAAGAGGCTAACCTTGACTATAAAAAAAATATATATATATATCATTAAAATCGTAATATATCTCGATTACAAGAAAAATAAACTATCTTCAAGAATTATACAAAAAACAAAATAAAATTCAAATAGAATAGAAAACATATAGATCAGATTATTAAAGATCAACAACTTAACTCTACAATTTTAATTGATACAAAACAATATTTAACCCTAGTTCTAACTCAAGTTTGTTTTAATTGTTCTCAAACAAATCAAAAATAGAAAGTTACAAAATTAGGATTAATAGTTAAATGTATTTCGAAATGTCAAGAAACAAATCTTATATGACATTTAATAATAAAGCAGAAGAAATAAATTATACTTTAGCTTATGCAGCGGCAGGTTTAGTTGAAGGAGTTACTTGATATGCACTCCAAAACATATTAGCTTCTTTTAGTATAACTTCACAAATATATGAAAAAATGTATAATATATATCAAAATAGATTATTTCCTCAGATTATAGATAGTGCTAAAAATCAGCAGAGTTGGCTTTAAGACAGTGCATTGAATTTATTAATTTTTCAGAAAATCCTGAATTCAGTACACAAGTATATGAAAATAATTTAGAAATCAATTCTAATTATCAAATTATCAAAAGATTTCTCGTTAGATTTGATACATCTTGGAGTCATTGTAGAAATGCGAATCAAGGAAGTGATGAATTTATTTTTTAGTCTGCAATTTCAGGTAATTAAATATAACTTGTATTTAGATTTTACTTATGTATATTATAATAAATAATTATTTTATCATTATTGTAAATTTATTATAAGAATATCCACATAAATCTATTGTAGCATTTCATGTTGCTCAAAAGTCACGAATTATTAAAGATACTAACCCTAATGATCAAAAAACAGTATTCAAAGGAAATTTCAATGCTAGTTCAAGACAAATGGAACACTCAATATTAATAGCTAATTTAAATGCTATTACTGATATATTACACAAATATAATATGTTACTAGATGTGTATCTTGATGGAGACCTCGATTCGAATAAAACACTTAGTTACATTTCAATTATTAATCATATTTTTGCTGATCTTAAGCATGTAAACAAAATATTCAGAAAAATCTAAGTATGTATATTGTAAATTT